GTCATGGCTATAGAATACTGAGGAGGCAGTTCTTACTAACATCTCAAGTGAGCCATCTGGGGTGAAAGCCATTCTTTGTAGCTTTTTCTCTCCAGCCTCCCATCGCATTGGGACCCCACAACCAGTTAGTGTCCTCTCCCCAACCGTCAGCACAGGCAGCAGGAATCTTGCTGCAGACTTCTCTGGAGCTCCACCACAGCCTGTACTATCAGGGGAAGAATGGCTTCCAGGGGTTCTCCCCAGGTATTGTACAAGGTCTTCCTGGTTTACAGCTTCCAAACAGCTCTTATGACCCCAGTCCACAGGACCTCTGACTCCTCGGGGTTAGTCTATATTCTCATGTTCTTTGAGTCCTTGTTCAGCAGCTGCTCCTCTGCTGACTCTGGACCTTTCTGGTTCTGAACAGCAGGAGCAAGACTGACCCGTTGTATGGCATGCATTTCCAGGAATTTCTCCATGTTTGAATGATTCACACACGTCTGTGGGTGGACCTCTGCAGCCAGTGCATGGTGGGCCAATTGTGTCATTGTTTCTCTGTGTAATGGTAGTTCTCAGTTGAGCAGTGGCAGCCAGCCTAAGGGCCGGCGCGACAGCGCTCGCCGCTGCTCGGCTTCCCAGGCGCCAGGGGACCTCCTTCTGGGTGCCTGCGAGACAAGGAGCCGGCCAAAGACCGGCGCCAGAGCCCCTCCTCCCGGGTGCCTGCGAGGCTTGAGGCTGGCCTGATGACCCGCGCTCCCCTCCACACGGCTTGACCTTTTCTCAGAATAAAATAAAAAGGGCCAGATATGTAGTTCTGTGGTAGAGTGATTGCTTAGCATGCCCTGGGTTCAATCCCTAGTATGGCAAAAAAAAAAAAAAAAAAATTATCATGTAGATTTATAGGAATGGTGTTATCAAAAATTTCCTGGCTTGTACTGAAAGCGTGAATGTGCAGAATAAATGCTTTAGAAAGTACCAACTTTCCTTGGCTAAAGTCTGTACAATCTGGTATGTATAGATTATAGCCCCAAATGTACTGTTTTCTTTTTTCCTTATCATCTTAAAACTTTATTCTGGTAAGTTTTCTGACATACTTTTTTTATTCTTCTCTTACCTTTTCCTTCTGCATTCATCCCACAGGAATACTGACAAAAGTTCAGTATAGTTCAGTTCAGTATAGGAGATTAAGTTTCACAAGGATCATTAAAATTTATTTTTAATTTCTATTGTAAGAGTTGTAAATAACCTACATAAAATTTTTACCTTTTTAAAACAATAGAACTTTTTTCTAAAATGTTTGAGGTAATCGATAGTGGTCCAGTTTTTACACTTGTTTTTTTCATGGATACAAAATTATAACTTGAATTCTCTTGAATGAATGTTCTTGAGTGAAGAACTATATCCCCAAATGATTTTGTATAGTTTTTTCAGTAGCGTATTATGAATAATTTCAAACATAAAAGAAAACTGAAATGTTATGTTAAACATTATGCACCCACCAACTGACATTTTACTAGATTTTCTTATCTCATTCTCTGTATCTATTCATTTCTCTATTGTTCCAGTATATCCATTTTTAATGCATGTCTAAAAAAATTGTAGATGCCATTACATTTTTCTCTAAATACTTCAGCATGTATATCATCATTACAGATTTTAATATTTATTTGGTTTTTCTTTAAAATATATACATTTTAAATTCACAAGTATTAATATAATATTCAGAGTTTTCGCAAATGCTCACCTGTGTCACCTGAATCCCTGTCAAGATATAGAGCATTAATATAACCTGAGAATATTTCCCTCATGACTCATCCCAATTGAAACCCATAGTAAGACCCCCTACCTATTCCTGGTATCCATTCTTTTGATTTTTAAAAGGCATTGATTCGTTTTAATCTGTTCTGTAACTTTAGTATTTGCCCTTTCAAAAACAATCTGGCTGCTATGAAAAGAAAAGATTGTAAGAGAATGAAAGTGAATCAGGCAAGTAATTTGGAAAGCCATTGCACTAGCCTAAGTGAGTTTATGATGGCTTAGAATAAGATGGTAATAAAGGAAGTAGTCAAAGTCAATTCTGAGTAAAGCATTGATAGTTTTTTGGTGGATTGTACGTGGGTGTGTGTTCCTACCACTTCCTGAGATACAGAAAACTTGAGAAGAAGTACTTTGAAACTGGATGTGGTGACACAGTAATTCCAGTATTCTGGGATGCTGAAAAAAAGGTTCACAAGTTTGAACCCAGTCTGGGGAACTTAGTGACTTTGCAAGCCTTTGTCTCAAAATTAAAAATTAAAAAATGGGAGAGCTAGGTTTGTAGCTCAGTGTTCAGACCCTGGAGTTAGTCCTCAGTCCTGGGGAAAAAAAGTTAATATGAGCATAGAAAAATCCAAGTTTCCCATTTTGGACACCTTATATTTAAAGTGCCTGTTAGACTAGATATAAGGGCTAGAGATATATACAAGTCACTTGTGAATATTATTGTTTTTACTTGGGGCATTTTCAAGTTATAAACTCAAACTGGTTCAAGGACTTTAATTATGTATATGAATTAGATGGACTCTGCCAATCTGTTACAGTCAAAATTTCAGTGCTCAGGGAAAAAAAAGCCATATATACAAAACAGGAAATATTTTAACCAGGTTTATTGCTATAGTCATTGTGTATATTACATATATCACAGTGAACTGCCTGTGTTTTATGAAAAGAAAAGTCTTTGAAAAATAGACTTCATACAAAAAAGTAAAATGCAATGATTCAATGAGTCTTTTGATGGAAGCCCACTCCATTAACATTTATGGGGATACAAAGCCAAATAATTCACAAGCTCTTCCCTAATTGATCTTTCAATAAAATAATAGTTATATTGTACATATAATTAAAGGAATATAAGTATTTACATACTAAATATGCCAAAGATTAAATACCTTGTTGTAGGAATTTAACTTAAGGAAGAGGTAGAGTTGTAGAATGACAAAAACTGAGTAGAAGGGAATTTTGAGAGGGATCTTATTATAGATAAATTATAAGGGCAATTTTGATGATTATTTAGAAATGTTTATTTACCTTCAGCATAAAATTCATTCATTCAGCACATGTTTACAACAAATGCCTATTTTTTACTGAATAGCAAGGACTCAAATAAATATTACTTTAATATCTTGCCTTTAGGGAATCCATTCTATTAGAAGAGACAAGTATGTGTGGGGAAAATAAAAGGAATGTATATTTTTCATTGCATGACGTTAGTCAGGCACTGAACAAGACATTTTACATTTTTTTCTTATTCAATCGTCATAAAATCCTGTTAGCAAGGAAATAAATTCAGCATTTTATATCCAGAAAAATATAGATTCTGATAGTTTAAAGTTTATAATTCTATCAAACTATGGAGTTAGAGTTTGTAGTAATTTTTTATAAGTTTTGTGCCCCACTTTTCAACTATGCCACATTGAATAAATATGATACAATATAACAAGAAATTTAATACAAGCATACTATAAAATGCATGGCAGAATAGAAAAGGAACAAACAAGTTCCCAGAGGCACTGATAGAATGGTGGAAAGGTGATATTTGTGAAATATGATGAAAAGAAGAGCGAAGATCAAATTGACAAACACCATAGTGGGACAAAAATTCTTAATTTGAGAGTTTAACAATGTTTCTTCCACATTTTAGGGTATTAGGAATTTCTCAATTCCTTAAAATCCTGCTGTTCTAAACCATTTGCTTTAGGAGAACAGACTTTTTTTGTATGATAAAGAGTATCTTAATGAGGGGTGAGACGGGAGAAGGAAGGTGAACATGGGAAGTGGTGGAAAGAGACGTGGCAGCGCAGCTGTGAGCTGAAATGCAAAAGAATTTCAGAAAAATTGCTGTGGTATTGGAGTTTTTAAGAAACTCGAGTAGAATGTGTTAAAAGCACTTTGATTTCTGGATTCCAATGATGGTTCTTTAAGAATAAAACATGTGGATCATAGTTTTATAAGGATTGCAGTTATATTTCTAACACTCCTATAATGAGAAGCAAGCAATGAGTTGTGCTCCCTCATTCTTTGGCTTTTTGTTGAAAGTTCACAAATTTCAAGTATACAGTTTATGTTTTTAAGCAGAACACATCACTCATGGTGCTTATAGATTGGACTTCAGTGTCATACATTTAAAATCACTGCTGGTGAAAAGTACTGTTATTTTAATGAATAGACACTCTCCACCTGATAGCAAAGAGGCTTAAAAGGAAAACTGACTTAAGAGGGGTATGGCTAATAGATATCAAGACAGTGATTATTTTGTAATTATTTCTTTTTCATGCTAAATCATAAACCCTTTATTTTCAAACCTATAAATGGTATTAAATACAGTGGCCCTTTGGATTTGAGCATTTAGGACTTCTATCTCTTGTTTGTAGAAAAAATGTAATGTTGAGTTTAAACAACAGTAAAGTTAGAACAATAATCTGGAGCAAGAGTGAAAACTAGGATCTAGGAAAATGTAAATACTCTTCAGATATTGGGCAGTTGGCTGGTGTGCCTACCTGCATGCAGAGTAGAAATTAGATTAATACATGTTAGTTGTTAAAGAAAAGTGACTAGATGGATGATGGAGGACGTGGGACTACCTAAATAATATAACCTCATATATCTTTGCCTCAAAAATATGAACAGGGTGACAAAGAAGTTCTTTAGTTGGGACTGTAAACTTATTATTATTTAGCTGTAAATAAGAATGCAATTCAAAGTTTTTGCCTTTCAGCTAGGATTTCTCCATGTGCTCCAGGTACAAAGATTGCCTCCTGGCTCATCTTCTACCCATTTAGTAACTATCAGAAAGATTTTTTTTCTCATTCTGGAACAGTATTCTTGGATTGAGTTTAACTGGTGTGACTTGACTCACTTGCTATGTTCAATGAATGACCATAGCTTGAAGATTTGTGTTCCCCCCCCCCCCCCCGGTACTGGGAATTGAACTCACAACATCGCGCTTGCCAGGCAGGCGCTGTGCCGCTGAGCTAAATCCCCAGCCCCAAGATTTGGTTTTTAATTGGCTAGGGCTATGTTCAGTTCCAAAAAGTTTGGGTTAGCCTCCTCCAGCACCACGTAGATTCAAAGGAAGGGATTTTTGTTGAATAAAAAAAAATCCTTTATTTTCCCAGAAGAGGGGATGCTGAACAAAACAAAAACAAAAGCCAAAAACCCGTATGCTTTCAGTTCAAAATGATGGGGAGAGGAGATAGAGAAGACAACAGGAAGGAAGAGAAAATCAGTAGATGAAAGAAGGAGGACAAGAAGAAGGAAGTTAAGGAAAGAAAGACTAATATAAAAGGAAAAGAAATAGAAGAGGGGAGAGAATAGAAAGTAGAGGGAAAATTCTGCAGATAAATCATTACTCAGAAAGTTTACATGAACATTCAGTGTTGAAAAGAATGGGAGTGTCATCTTTGACCTTACAAGCAGACTTTATCTGTAGGTATCTGATCTGATTTCATACTCAGGATATTGCATGTGTCAAGCCTTTTCATGTTTTCCATAAATTCAAATTTCTGCTCAAGATTTTCTTCACAGCTTCTTTCACCTCCTTATTCCTCAAGCTGTAGATGATGGGGTTCAACATTGGCGTTACCACTCCATAAGACAGTCCAATGATTTCATCAGATGCTTTGGTGAACTTTGACTTGGGCTTCATGTACATAAAAAGGGCTGAACCATAGAATAAGATGACCACAGTCAGGTGGGCTGAGCAGGTAGAAAAGGCTTTCTTTCTACCTTCAGAAGAATTAATTCTCAGGATGGAAGAGAGAATGAAAATATAGGACAGAAAAATTAACAGCAGAGGAATCACCAATAAAACAATACTTGCCACAGTCATGATAAGTACATTTATGGAGATATCTGAGCATACAAGTTTGAGAAGAGCCAGTATCTCACAGGTAAGATGATCAATGACATTATTACCACAGAAAGGTAACACCATTGTCAGTACTGTTTGTACTAAGGAGTTCAGACAGCCTATGACCCAGGACCATACAGCCATGTGTACATATAATACCTTGTTCATGATGATGGGATACCTCAGTGGGTTGCAGATGGCTACATACCTGTCATAGGCCATCACAGCCAGGAGGACACACTCAGTAGAACCCAAGCCAAGGGAGATAACCATTTGCAGAGCACAGCCACTGAAGGAGATTGATTTTCTCTGAGACATAAACATAATGAGCATGGGAGGAATTGATGATGATGTATAACAAATATCCAAGAACGAGAGGTTTCCAAGAAAGAAGTACATAGGAGTGTGGAGGCGAGAATCCAAGATGCTGATGAAAATGAGGAGGCTATTTCCTAAGAGGATTATCATGTACATGATAAGACAGACCACAAATAGAAAAAGCTGGAGTTCTGGGTATTGGGAAAGCCCCATCAGAAAGAATTCAGCCACTGCAGAATAATTCATCTTCACATATCCATGTCACCTGCAGAGTTCACATAAGGATAGGATTTAGAGAAATTTGGACTTCTGATGTGGATTTATCAAATCACTTTCACTTTCATTATTTTCTTTGACTTTCAAAAAAGTCCCTGGAATCAGCAAAGTCAGGAATATTATATGGATTTTACTAATGATGAAAGAGATGCTGAGAGGTAGGTAATACATGCACTATTTAGCATCATACAGTAGTAGAGATCTGGAATTGTGGTGACAAATGCCTGCCTCTAATTATGTATAATCTTTGGATAAACTACTTTCAAATATGTATATGTGTAATAATCTCTTTATTAAGGTTTTGAAATAAAACTTTACACTGATAAAGCAGGATCTAATTTAAGGTAACATGTAAATTTGATACCATGTAATTTATCTTCAGTAGGATCATTTAAAATTACTTAACTTTTTGAGGTTCAGCTAGCTAAGTTACTGTCAGCTAGAAAAATGAGGGAAATTTTAACTATTTGGTAGTTTGTTGTAGGAATTAGAGTTGATAACACCTATTAGCTTGCAGGCATAATAGATAGTTTCAAAATGTCATCTCAAAATTTAAGAAAATACAATATAACAAAATATGTAGTGAAATATAACTATTAAATTCATAAATACTGTAAATTATATTTTTAAAGTCTATTTTAGTGGTCTAGAAGGAAATAGTTGCTTTAGGTTTTTTTTTTTTTTTTAATTTTAGGACTAGGGAATTGAAGTTTGCAACCATAATTGTTGGAATACGAGCATTTTCAGGTCTAAGGGATGCATCTAATCAGTTAATAATCTGATAATAATCTCCTCTGGCTTCCCAGGAACTTCCAGGCACTGAGGGGCCTGGGCTGCTTATTGTCCCCACCGGCAGAAAAAGCCATTGCCGAGCACCTTGCCGCTGCTGGCGGGAGAAGTCCTTGCAGAGCACCGTGCCACACTACCTTCGGTTGCCTCTGTGCGGCTTGCCCCGAGGGGCGTGGCCACATTTGCATGTGTACCACCGGCTGGTTTGGAAAAGCACAAATTCCTCAAGACAGCAAATGCCTCCTCTTCCCTTTAAAGCCTGTGTTCTACCCTAGCTTCCTGCTGACTTCCTTCTCAGAACTCAGCTAGCTTCAACTGGAATGAATAAACAGCCATGGTTGCTTACACAAAGCCTGCTTGGATGATCTCTCTCCTCTCCATGCCTTTAACACACTTGTCATGGTATAAGACATGAAAAGATTATAATATCCTAAAATATCACGCGTGCAAAGTGTAGTCTTAGAGAAGAGCTAAAGACAATGGAGGACAATGCTCATAATGTAATATTACAAATAAAGGAAGTTACCCAGTACTATAAATGATTGCAATTTTGTGTACATACACCTAAAGAAATTACACCAAAATATTGATGCATTCTGTGGAATGTGGAGTTTAGGAAATTAAATAATTTAATCTCCATATTTTCCAAATAATTCTTGATCAATATTTTATTATTATAAATACCTGAAATTCTATTTTCAAATTTCCCTTGGAAAGAGACAGTGACATTGGTATCTAGAGCTTTGACACTGGTTTTCTCTAAATTCCAAGTAGGAAATGGAATAGTCAATGAACAGAAAATTGGAGAGAGGCTTTATGTTGTTTCACTTTGTGAAGATGAATATGATGCCACTTAATGTTGTGTTTCTAATCAATCTTACAGATACCCCTATCAATCAGCAGTAAATATTTCAAAAGGAGTCTGTAACCCACCATTTAGAATGTGTTCAACCATGCTGATAACAGGTACCATAAAATATCTCGCAGTAGCACACGAGAAGAAAAAGATACAAGAGACACTGGGAGGAGGAGGAAGCAGGGGGAAAATCGGAAGCTTCTGTTACCTCTGCCATTTTCTTTTGTAAAATTTTGGTCCTTGGTCTTCCACATTTTATTCATCTCTCTTGAAATGCTTGGTAATAGATTGGTCCTCGTCATCATGTATCACTGATAGAAAGAAAGCAAATTATAGACTATGAAGCATTCACCCTTCACCACAACTTTACCAATAAGGGAGTAGAAGATTTTTGTAAAAGATAAACACTTGATTGGATTTTCTGATTTCAACTTGAAGCATTGTTTGAAGAGTGTATGGCACTGTGAGAGATTTCCTCAGGAGGAAAATGCAGTACTGAATATGCATCTTAAAGTCTGCTTTATCCAGTTTTTCATTTTGTTTATAAAATGCCTTATTCTTCATAGTAAGAGTGATGTCTGAAAAGGGACCCCTGGTGCCTGTCTAAACAAATGGCTTCCTAATAACCCTAAAAGGAGTTGATAATAAGCAGTACTAGGTGAGTTAGAATTAAACCCTCTTTTCCTTTTTAAAATAGTCTTGAGAATCATGAGATTCATTATTATTCTTGGTTATTTGACCAACATTGTTGTGTAGCTATAAAGTACAAATTGGCATACTTTTAAACATATACTTCAGCTAGTATGAAGTTTACTTTGAGAACACACTGCATAAAAATTTAAAGTTTTATCATAAAAGAGTTTCTATCTGAGCAACAGACTCACTTCAAGTTGATTAGAACATGGACTCCACATAGCTATTTCTAGGGTTCTGCCTTGGAAACCTACTATCACCCAGTCTGCCTACTTCTTTGACTTGTTGTTAGGAAGGTATCTTTATGGAGATACTATATTATGTTTTAATAGAAAGAGGAATCTTAAGAGTCAGGAAACTTGGAATTCAGTCTTGACTCTGTAGCTCATCAGCTGTACAAACTTTGTGCATGAGACAACATGAACATGATGTAAAATAAGGTAATAGTACGTACACTACTGTGTTGTTATGGAAATTAACAAAACACATATGCAAAGTATGAGAGAATGCACAATACATAGTGAGTTTAATCTGAACTCATAGACTGCTATTCTGTCATTTTCCAAGGTAAGCAGAAACTAATTTAAGATAATGTTTATCAATATGCAAGATTCCTTCATTAAATAGTTCCTTCTTTCCCATGTTTTTCAATATTCAAAACTTTTCAAAACAAATAAATCATTCAGAATTTGTACTTCCTATATCCTTTTTGCTTTCTAAAAATAACTTCCTAATTTTGCTCTCATTTACTTCATGTAAGTATCAGTATAGGATTCTCAAATTCTCCACATACAATAAATAACATGGTTTGTTAAGACCACATTTCAAAAAAAAGCCATAATAGACACAATCTTTTCATGTCTGTGACCAAACACCTGACAAAATCAATTTAAAGGAAAAAAGATTTATTTTTGGCTCACGGTTTCCATGGTTTCAATCTGTGGTTGGCTGGTTCCATTGCTATGGGCCTGAGGTGAACCAGAACATCATGGTGGAAAGATGTGCTACAGCAAAGCTGCCTACGTCATGACAGCCAGGGAGCACAGAGAAAGGGAAAGAACCCTCGTGATCCCTTCCCTTTCCAAAAAACCCATCACCTGGTAACCAATCATTCAATACAATGATGTTTGGAGAATGTTTGAATCCCAATCACAATAGCTTTCTTTAGTGTGTCACTACAATTTTCTTCTTACATATCGAAGTAGAAAGACACATGGTTTCATACTGAAGTATGAAGATGATATGAAATCACTGCAGCTGTTTCTCCTCATATTAATTTGTCTTTACTATCTTTGGTTTGAGCTACAGTCTTGTTATAGAAATATATAAGTATTCTACAGTCACAGATGATTACTAGTAGTGGGGAAGAGGGGAGAAGGCAGACTAAAAATAAAGCTTTCATTCTCAATTAAAATTCAGGTCATACATTTGAGTCAATTGTAAGTCAGTCCATCACCCAAATACTTTCTAACCTCTGGCCGCTAAGCATCTCCGGGGGACCTACCAATGCCTCAGGCAGCCAATTTAAATCCACCTTTGTTTTCTTCTAAGAGACTCTATAATCCCACGAGTGATTTAAAGTTGAATCTTTAAATCTTCCTAAAGGTAGCAACTTTTAGAATGTGAAGGATAATGTCTCCAAGACCTAGTTACAACTTACTCATTAAATGGCAAATTTTCTTTTTTCTTTGAATTAATTTTTTCTCTGATTATAGAAATGATATACATTCATCACATAAAATCAAGACCTTCAGAAGAGCTCAAGGGAGAAAATGAAAGTCATTCATAATTTCAGATATAACTTGATATTTTGGCATATTTTTTGATTGGCTCTGGTGCAATTTATTTTTCATTATTTTTAAATTTTTATTTTTACTCATCTTTGCAGTACATGTGATTACATTCATTGTGGAGAACTGGCATAAGTACATAACACATCTTAATTCTTTTTTCCATTCTTTTCCCCTCCCCTTACTCCTTTCTAGCTCTTGATCTCCTTCCTTTTCCCAAAGATCTAGCTCCCTGTTTCCTGAGACCATAATGTTAAGTGAAATAATAAGACATACAAGCTTAAATATCTCATGATTTTTGTTATATGAAAAACCCAAAATATAAATAGATTAAACAACAAGATTTTGGCATACTTTTAAACATATACTTCAGCTAGTATGAAGTTTACTTTGAGAACACGCTTCAATTAGCGTTTAGAATTAAGAAGCCAAGCAGGCTAGTGCACAAATACATACATTTCACTGCAATCCTCCTGCCTGCACCTCCTAGTGTTGAAATTTGAGGCCAGCCTGGACAAGTTAGCAATTCAATGAGACAGTGTATCAGAAAAGGAGGGATGGGTCTAAGGATACAATTTAGTATGAAGACCCTGGGTTCAATCCCAGTACCACAAAACAAACCAACAAAATACCATGAAGTTTTTCATATTATTTTATTAGGAAGTTTTAATGAGTCATAACATTTTAAAAATGGAATATGGAAAGGAGAAAACATTTAGAAAACTTTAGTAAAATAGAAGGAAATGATAATGTTGAAGAACATTACCCTTATTTCCCATGAGTGCAAGCATATTGCCATTGTCAGAAATCCCCATAGGGCCCCCCCTTTTTTTTATAGAATCATAAAGCATTTCATTGAATG